ATTTCGTGGCTAGTTTTTCAAATACACATGATAAAAAAGGGGGTATATTTGTGAAAAATCGCAAATTTTACAATTAGAAAGCAACTACAAGTACATGCAACTGACACTTGCATTTCCCTCAGTCTTTACAATTTCCCTCAGTCTTAACATATTGTTTGCATCTTTGCCTTTCAGACGGTAAGAATTCAGATACTAAAAAAAGCGGGACGTCCCTCAGAGCGACCTGTGAGCCACGACAGCTGTCACTTCAGCAAGCCAGAAGAGCACGTGCATGAGTGCATGCACGTGCACGAGCTAACTGAAGTAGCTGGAACAGAGGACGCTGAGGCTGATGCTGAGTATGACAGTGCGCTTAAAGAAGCTATATGTGGTGTTCAGGATGCGGTCACGACCATTAATGAGCACCTGGAGGAAGTTCGGTATGAAATTGAGGCCCTGGAATCTGAAGAATAGCCGCTTGAATAGTTGAATTTAGCACAAAAGAAGGATTTGGGATTGCTCTGAAGTTATATTTTAGCATTTATGATTTCCAACTTTGTATATTGTTCTAATTAATAGTTTTGGTTTTGGAGTGGGATTTTTTGTTACGGTAGTTTCTAATTGATGGATTTTTTTAATCTAAAATGGAAAACTATGGAGGAGGTATAATTGAGAAATAGTGCCTTCAATCTTGTGATGCCACTGAAGAACAATGTGGAGATGCTTGTCATTGTCGGGAAAATTTCAGTGAAGGTTTTTGCTGTTCTTTAGTGCGACAGAATCTTATTCTCTCTTTTTGATCAAAATATTGTATGTTTTTCTGGTCATAGTGCGACTAAAAATATAGAACAATGACTTAAACAAGTGTGAAAATTACTTTATTTTAACAAATGAGTTGCAAATTCAAGTTACCATGCAAAGTGAAATAAAATGTTTGCTTGAGAAAAAGTATTATTGAAAACATAAAAGCAGAGATGGTTTGGTAAGATCAAATTAATTTATAATATAATTGAAACTTTTTAATTAAATTTTTATCCACATTCACAGGTGTTTGGCAAATTGAAAGTGAATCGAAAGGATGCGAGTCACTTTTGTTGCGAGCGAGAAAATGTATCCATATCAGCAAGTAAATGATATACAATGTTTGTTTACAAAATAAAATATTATTGAAACTAGCAAAAGAAAGATGACTCTGCAATATCCTTTTATTTATTTATTTAAAATCAACTTTCAAATTGTTTTTAAAATAGTTAAATCACTCCCTCCTACTGCTAACTTATTTTGAACTAGGAAAATCCAATTACAATATTAGTTGTCTCTGACTAATTTATTTTTTTAGAAAAGTTTCTAACTAAATGATTAACGAATGTGCTGTTAATTTTGACATGAGGATGCATGGTTCTATGGTAGATGACAAATGATGCTGATTAGAGGGTGGGCTTTTTTGTGTGTGTGTCTGTGTATTGGGGGTGCGGGGGTGGGGGGATCAACAATCCAAAATAAACTGCTAAAATAGGAAGGGGAAAAAAATGTGGGCGCAGGGCAGTAATTTTGGAAAGAGGTGGTTATTGCGGCCAAATCTTAGAAAAACACAGTTTGAATTTATTAATATTAATAAATATAATATTTAAATACGGAGTGGTCTCACTTTTCACACTTTTATCTGACTTCAATACTTTTTTAGGGGAACTAAAGCCTAAGTTAGATCTGATAGTAGGTCTATTATTACATTTCACTTTTATGAACAATTTCAATTAAACACACCCAAACTTCTAAAAACATTTCACTTTTATTTTTCACTTTCATACAAATAAACACTCATATATTCGTGTAGCTTCACCATTTTATTTTATTTTTAGTGAAAGTTAAAATCGCATCAAATCCTATAGAGAAATACTTTTGCATTTGCTTTCACAATTAATTGCATACAAACAAACACCCTCTGAGCTTTGCTGAAGCAAACCAAACAGATTACAGTGTTTATCAGAACTGACTGCGTGAGAACGGACGGCCAAAGCCACACGCTAGGGAGCAAAAATCCATTTTGCCTCTCCCACTAAATCCATCGAACGGCACCGGCCCTGCCCAAAGCACCTCGGCCTCTTGGGCCACAAGCCGCGGACAAACCGACCCGAATCGGATCCACTGGGCAACTGTTTTAAAATCCCACCGACTCCATCTAGAATCTTCCCCTCAGTCAGAAAAAGATCTCGCGGTGCACCACAACATGGATAACTGGCTCCGCGCTTTCTCTGTCTATAACAACCCCAAATTCTCCCCTCCGTCTGCCTTTCACTTTCTCTCTCCTCCCTTCATAACTCTCGTAAATCGAAGCGGAGCGAAAGGTAAAAGATTACTCTCTCTCTATCTAGAGATCTGTAGATCTCCAGATCTCTTCAATTTCCCTCTCTCTAGTTCTTAGATCTGCAATTTCTCTGTCTAGATCTGTGATCAGAGACGACGATGGGTTTGGCGTTTGGGAAGCTGTTCAGCCGCTTGTTTGCGAAGAAGGAGATGAGGATCTTGATGGTCGGTCTCGATGCCGCCGGTAAAACCACGATCCTCTACAAGCTCAAGCTCGGCGAGATCGTCACTACGATTCCTACGATAGGTAATCACCTAATCTTCTTTTATTTTATTTTATTTTTCTCTTGGCTTGTATTGAGATCTGGAGACGTTGATGGTTGCTCGATTCCTGTTGATGATTTCGCGATCTTTTTGTTCTAGAATAGAGGATCAGGGTTTCATCTGGCTTAGATCTTGATTGCTTGGATCCATTGGATAATTTCGATCTGTATTTGGTTGTAATCTTGTGTTTTTTGTGCGATCTTTACTCTTGCCTCTTAAGATCTGAGCTGTTTGATCTCGAATAGGCTCGTGTTCGAGAGCATGCTATTGAATGCGTTGAATTCCTTCTCTTCAATTATTTTTGTAGGAAGAGTGATCTTAAAATTAAAAAAAAAAAGAACACCTTGCGAAGATAAAAATAAATTAGTTTTATTTTCTTAGTTTGATCACTAGTCTGATTTCTCTAGGATCCCAGATCTGTGCTATTGACAGCACTGATTTCCTTCTCCTCAATTCACGCAGGGTGTCATCCCTGTCCTCTTGCGTAACCTCGATATTCTGTTGAAGAATTTTTTTATCTTCAATTATATGTAAGGTAAAAGAATCTTTAATCACATGAGATATGAAACCAGTGTTCTCTTGAGTGTGGTTAGTCCCTCGAAAGTCCTTTTATTTGATAAAGAAGAGCTTCTAGCCTTGTACATTCTCATAGCTACAAGATCTTATTTTAAAATGAAGGCAAATCTTATCTTAATATAAAATAACCACAGCGAGACATGGATCCCTAATCTTGTGCCACTATCTATTATCCAACTCTCTTCTCATTAAACAAAGTCTTCCCGCCCTTCACCATATAGACATGCATGCATGCAGGACATACATCATGCGAAGACAAAACCTCCATCACCATCACACACAACACACTATTAGTTGATTTTTTTTTATTTAACTTCTTTATAAATTTATATTTTGTTTAATTATTAAAGTATTATTAAATTATCTAGCAGCAAGTCACTGGGACCTATAATTTATCTATATAAACTTGTTGGTAGCTTTACATTTTTCTTCCATTTTTTATGACTATTGCATAAATTGAATATATGAAAAAATCAACAAGAATTCTTTTAGTGATCGGTGAGTTTTTTGTAAGTAGGAACTGATCTGCATCCCGTCCATTATTTTTTTTCCTTGTTGGAAATATAGCAATATTTATTTGTATTCGCCCTGAAATTTTGTGCCTTCTTGGCGTAATTTTTGTATGTGACACTATTCTCTCTGCTTTGATGCTAGGAACTGTGTTTCCTTTTTTGTTTGTTTTACTGTAATAAAAATACCTTGTTTTCTTTTATTTCACTGCAAATTTGCTATATAAATTGCACCAACTTGTAAAATTATGCTGCTATTACTAAAACTATTACACGGTTATGATTGATCACTGGTGCTTCGTTGTCTTAGAGAAGATTTGATACAATTTCTTCGGCATCCATCAACACTGAGTGCATATTCTATTGGAACAGTCTCATAGAAAGGGGTGGTCTGCATTTTTTTTATTATTTAACATTAGTAAACTATATCTATATATTCAAGTGATTTAGCTAAACTAATTTGAATTTTCCTTTATTCAGTAAACATTAAAGTTTAGCAGCAGCTGACGTTTGTTTTTCTTCTCCTCTATTTATTGATGTGTTTAGGATGAACTCCGAGATGCTGTCTTGCTTTTGTGTTTGCAAACAAACAGGATCTGCCAAATGCTATGGATGCTGCTGAAATTACAGATAAACTTGGGCTACACTCCCTTCGTCAGCGACACTGGTATGAATCTGTCCTCCATTGATGATGTCATTAATTATGTTTTACTAATGTTGATTTATTTGAGTTGAATTTCTGTTCAATCATTGCTATGGTCCTCTGTAATATTGATGTCAATAAATAGCTTGGTATTTTAAATTCAGAGTCTAAACTGTAAATTCCTTTATTTAGACCGTATCTGATTAATAACATTCTTCAAGTGTATCCTAGGCTATACCCAAGTAGATATCCTAGTGTTCACTGGATATCCTAAGATGTATCCAAAAATTATATTTTCAATATACTAGAGATATATCTAACATCCATGTCTATTTGGTTTGCAGAAACATTTATATAATTTGTTTGCTTTCTTGATGAATTGTGAATGTTCTTGTAACTCTTGACTCGTATAACATAGATATATTGTATAATATTACTTGATATTTGAATTATGGTTATTGATAATTTCAATTGGAACAACTTTATATTACATTTGAAGTATGTCATGCGGCAATTCAAAATTTTGATCCTGATATGAATAGATTTGCTATTTAACTTGATGCTGGTATTAAAAGACTGGCTTCTCAAAGTTGGTAATAATAAATGCTGAGATTTGAGTACATGCATTTAGTCCCAGAGTCTTGTTCAAATTTGATAGCTTTTCAACAGAGGGAATTCTATGTTTGGGTGCTGATTTGAGTTTTCTCCCAGGTACATCAAGAGCACCTGCGCTACTTCTGGCGAGGGGTTGTATGAAGGACTGCTTTCAAGCAACATTGCTAACAAGGTATTTGCATGGGCTGAAATTCTTTCCACTTTGTTCTAATGAACTGAAAATACCAGTGTGCGAGTTGTCTTTCATGCATATTGATTTTTTTGAAAGAGGGCTAATCGCGGACAGACCCCTGTAGTATCACCTAATTGCAAAGAGACCGCATGTAGTAATATTTGTTGTGAGTAGACCCCCTGCAGTGATACATGTTGCGAATGGACCTGCTGAGTGATTTTTTTTTTAATTGTGAAAAACGTTAAAATGCTTGAGGGTGGTGCTACACCCCCCACCCCCCACCACCCCCACCCCCCTGCAATTGGAGTAGATACTACAGGGAGTATTTTGGCATTAACCCTTTTGAAAAGTCATAGCCATTTTGTCACATGCAGAATGAAGTTTCAAATTCCTTAACTGTGTTTATTATAATTGGTCATTGTGCTTATTAATATTGGTTATTATATGTGCTAGGGTTGAGAATTCAAAGGAGTTCAGCAAATCTAGGACTCGAGCGAGGAGACGCACGACTCCGGGTTGCTTATGCCATTTAAATATCTGTAGGATATTTCGCTCAAAGATTCTTTTATTAAGAAACCTTTGCTTAAGACGTAGTGTACTGAAATCTTATTCGCCAGCAATCTCTATATGATATCCTATCCCAATCACGTTTGTTACGAGTTAATTGGCCTATAATCCAGATTTATTTGCTTGTATTTGCATATTTGATTCTTTTCCTCTGCGGTGAGCCTGTTGTATGAGTTATCCTATTTGAGCTTGTTCCCATTTTTGTCTCTTCAACCCCGGAAATGGGACGTATGAGTCGCGGATGTGTGTTGACCACATTGATGGAAAGACTTGTTTTGTGGTTCTTCACTTTTTGAAACTATGTTAGATTTTGGTGGCTTTTTAGACGGTAGGTAAACGAGTTGAGTCACCTGTGACACCCCCTCTCGAGCTTCTTATCCTTGACGCGCAACTTGTTTGGTGAAAGCATCCTCCTTTTGAACGTAACATCAGCAGCAAACACGAGGATAGCAGCTTGGTTGATGATCAATGAAACGGACGGGAATACTTCACGCGAGTTTCGGGAGGCGCTGAAGTTCCAGTGCATTTCGTGGAAATTTACGAAGCCCATAGGAGGGCTTCAAAGTTTGGAGGGGTTTTATGAAATTCACCCATTAGACTAACTACCTTGTTACGTCACCTAAAAAATTCTTGTTAAAATATACAGGTAAGCAGCTGCTTTTACGCTTTCATTTAAGACCAGACGCGTAGACCATTAATTCAGAACTAAAGCAGGTAAAGACGTTTTTCTTGCACTTTTAAGCCGTCTAATTCTTTTGATCTGATAAGTAGAAATGAAGAAAACGTATCAACGCATATAAAGAAATGAATTACAACAAGGACAACATACAACCCTGGGGAGAACCTGAAACATACAACAATGATTCTCTCCAGCACGTACAAATACAGAAAACCAAAATAGGAATGAAATGCAGAAACCACTTTTCAGGCAGAGCAATCCTTTCTTCACTCTGCCAACATGCAGCCTAGATTCCCAAATCAAAATGTTCCCGTTTGCCTGTGAAGTTAAACTGCCTCCATATCTCAATCAAGTGAATATATCATCATCAATTCGCGTCTCATCTGTCCTCTCCAAAAACATTAATTTGAATCTTGACACACCAGAGGGATCGCGGTAACAGCAGATGAGATGCCATAGCTTGAACTCCCTTTCAATTTTTCCGGCCAATTTACTCAGGTAGTTTGACCTCCGTTCATCTGTCGGGCCCTGGATGACATTTTTGTGTGAATGGCTGACACCAACGCCATTATTAAGAGTTGATACGCTAATACTAATCACAACTGAGACATGAAAGCTCTAGTTTATGTCGAGGGACAAGGTACATTGACTTTGATATCATAACTAACGTACAAAGTTTAGGTGTACATGTTGATCATCAAGTCCTTATAACAATACAAATTAATTAACCCCTTTCGTGTACCTGTTTTGCTGTGAATGAATAAATCAGAATGTCGGTTAGTTCACCACAAGCACCCATCCTGCATACAAAGTGTTTCATCATCACTGAAGAGGATATTCACAAATGCAGAGAAATTATAAAAAGAAGCTCCAATAAGATGGCCAGCACTGGTGTCATGACACTATTCAAATATTGAGCATAGACAATAATTGAAAATGTGTGTGTGTGTGTGTGTGGGGGGGGGGGGGGGGGTGATAATTTACAAATCTAGAGCAAGTAGATGGGAAGAAGCATGCGACAAGTCCCTTCAAATATGCACCTGAAGAGGATGAGTCTCGTTTGTGTCCATGTATACTTAAACTATAGGCATTCACATTAATATGTGATATTTGAAACTTCTAACTAGAGAACAACAGGCATACGGAATCATGAGTCAGCTTTATTTTTTGCAGACACATCCAGTCCAACCAAAACTAAAACCATCATCCAATAAGAATAGGATCTTGTGTGCACATTAATGCCTATAAAGTGTTCCCTATTTACCATGTGCAGTGAATCACAAAGTTTTAGGGCATAACTAACAATTTACATGATATCAAACTTCTATAAAAGTCAAAAGGAAGATTGAAAACCAATGAAAGCACAAAGATCTTACTTCGAATATCATGAGGGCAAAAGATCCCAATCGCTCTTTGAAATGTCGAGGATTATGACCTGTCCATCCTCCCTATGAATCTGCACAAATTTATTAGAAAAATTAGCCAACCTGTAAACAGTTACCATTGGATACATTTTAACATACATTAACTTCTAATGTTAGGACGAAATCTAATCTCTTACAGTGTGTTTTCTGGAATAACAATTGAACTCTACTATAGTTCCGCCATAGTACCTGAAATAATTGGAAAAACAAATATAAGCACATTATTTGATACAATTAAACTGTAATATTTTTACACTTACTCAAAACAAGTACAAAACCACCATATATGGAATTGAACACTGGTTTCTCTAGCACTTGTCTCTAAAAAGTACAGATCTTCAGATTTTTCAACTGATTGGTTCTCTCGACATTGACAAAGCATCGTAAAATCTCGCTTCATGTCCTCAATAACCTATATTCCAGATGCATCTTATAATGAAACTAAACTATCTTGGCAAGGCCCTTTATAGGTGTCGTGGATTTCAATAGACTCCTTGAAGGATACTAATGGGATCCCCACCCCCCACCCCCGTGCGCGAAGAAACATGTTTATTCTCAATGATATAAATTTTTAAGTAATGATTTGAGAAAAGAATGTATTCTATGATTGGATTATTGGATTACACTAAGAAGAATTTGCTAAGAGATGCCCTTGATTTTCTTTTAGTACCATGTTTTTTCCAATGATATGATTATTACTGCCGAGGTAATAACACACTTGCATTCCACATCAGGACTATGGAAGATATGTTGAACAAATTACTTGCCAATGTTTTAAATATCGGCCGACAAACCGATATTATCGGCGATTTATCGATTTTAGGGGACTTTCGCTATGATAAGTTCCATTCTAAATCGGTTATTGTTTTTTCATGTCTATCGCCGATAATACGGCGATAAAGCGAGTTATCGCTCGATATTGTCAGCCCAAAAATCGGAATTATGGGCCTTTGGTTTAAGCTTTGATTTTGAGCAACAAGCACCTATTCAATGCACTTTAAACCCGACCCAACCCGAGTTTCTACCATTGGTTAGTGATTCTAAACATAATTATATTTATACATTTTGGTATGTTTATATTTCATTAAGTATGGTTAGATTACATTTTAAAATATTATATTATGTAAATCATCATCCAGTAATGTCACTTCGATAAATACTACTTATCTCTGCTATCCGATATCCGATATGGATTTTGACCGTCCGATAAATTCCCGACAACCGATATTTAAAACCTTGCTTGCTTGATGCAATCACTTGATTTTACACCCGCTTGATGCATAAGAAATAAGAACTCAATTTACCAAATAGTTTCTTTATGGACAATTCAAAGACATGTTGATAAAAATGAGAGGTGATCGTTCAAATTGATGACATCACATATCATGTATTATACAGGCGGGCATAACCTAGTTAGGTTATAGAAGAACTTTATGTGCATGCCATACGTGACATGAGTTCACCTCACTTACCGAAATAAAATACCAAGATATAGAAATAGAAGTGGTAAGGTCCACACCGCCCGACGTGGTCCGCTCATATCCACATGGAAAACAAAGTATAAATGTTAACCCTATTAACAATTGAGGGTAAACATCCTTCCCTTGGTGTGCGGGTGTTTGTACGTAAAGCGAAATAAACAAGCCATCCTTGGTTCTAGCTTCTGGTTCCTATGTAAGTTATAACAACCTTTTGAACTTAGCCTCACTTCTACTTCCTTCTTTCCTTGTATACTTTCCAAGTTTCACAATTTCTACACTATTATTTTCACTTATAAGATGCCTTGTTTGCTTTATTTGCCCTTTGGACTCCGAGTTCCCCTAACTACTCTAAGGTTATAATCCACTACCTTAAGATGCTCAAACAATCTATTTTCTACTTTATTGATTCAAGTAGATGCGGTTATACAGAATGTTAATTTCTTCAATTACATTCATTCCTTGTTGTCAATCATAAAACTCTAGCCTGTGAATTTCTAACCATCTAGATTCCGCAGTTTAGGGTGTGTTTGGTTGGGTGAAGTTGAAACAAGAAATATTTTTACCTCAACATGTTGTTCCAATGCATGGTGTTAGAACACTCTTGAAATTAGGGTTGTATTAACACCCTTATGTTTGGCTTAGTTTTTATTGCGACAACCTTTAACCAAACAAGACCTTTGGATCTTTTATGTAGTTGGAAAACCATTGGGTTCCGACAGCACCAAACCAATACACCCTTAGTTGTTGGTCTCTTATCCAGGTCCTTCTCTTGCATACAGCTGTCAGATCTATGTTGTCCCCCAGATAACTTTACAATCTTTACAACCTATCATCCACCTAATAGAAAAGATCTTTGGTGAACTAGCAAAGGGTATTTTTTGTCAGAAAAAGAATGTTCAACTTTTAGAAGTCATAAGAGATTGCAAGATTTGATTAGTTGAAACATTACTCAAGTACATAATACATAACTTATCATCATTTCAACGTTAGTACTAGACCAAGTATCAAACAAAAATCAAATTAAATGATTGAACATTGGAGCATGTTAATAATGAAAATATTATGGAATTCGTATATCAACTGTTACTTTATTTTTTAGGTTGCTTAAGTACAAAATGCTACGTTTCAAGAAAGAAAGCCCAATGAAATTATGAAGTGAATGCATTCATAGAGATTATTTCAAAAAGAGAGATTCCTTATGATCAATATCAGGAACTGCTTGCTAACTTTAAGCCAGAGTAAAAGCATGGGGTGCATATAAACTGTCTGATGCTAGGAGGTTGGATTTAGTCAAATCAGTGCTCTGTGGTATTCACTCATACCGGTCTGGGATGTTCATTTTGCCTAAGAAGGTCATTAAGCAGATTGAAAGCTTGTGCTCCAGTTTCGTTTGGGGAAGCAAAGAGGGTGTGCATAAAGTGCACTTACTTGCTTGGCTATGGTGAAAATATTAGGGCTATTCATATGAAGCAAGACTTTTTATAAATTAAATGGTTGCATGGCCATTATTTGAAAAACCACTGTATAGAGTGCTCAAGCTGAAGTTAATGGCTCCTGGTTTGGGGAAAGCTTTTACAAACTAGAGATTGGCTTGCTCAGAAATGGAGTTCTCATGAAGATATGTTGCAGACCATGTTTAATTGGGTGAGTAGAGGTAAATTTTCTATGTTTAAAGCCTATATCGAGCTGTTCTGTCACGATCACCTCACTATACATTAGGCAAAAACAGTTTGGTTCCATCTTTCTGTGCCAAGGCATGCCTTTATATTGTGGATGGCTATGTGGAGAAGGTTATTAACTCAGAGCAGGATGGTGTCTATGGGGATTATTGCAGCTAGCTTGTGTACTTTTAGTAATCAGACATTGAACACATGTATTTTTTTATTGCCCTGTTTCTGCTCTGATTGGGAGAAGATATTGGTTTGGCTCGGCTATCAAAGAGATCCTATGCTATGGAAGGATGAAGTAGATTGGTTTTGTCACAGAATTACGGGGAAAGCAATGGAAAAAGAAGGCCTTGAGCTTCACTGGCTGCAACGGTATATCAAATTTGGCATGAAAGGAACTGCCGCAGGTTTCAATCTGAAGTCAGAAGCTAGGTAACACTGACACAAGACACGGGACACGGCAGATTAATAACATGTAGGATACGGGGACACGGTATATAATACACACACATGATCATATATTGAACAAAATGCCAATAACATTTGTATGTTTCTTTCTATTATTTATAACGATTAGGAATCAAGTTAAATCAAACCAAGAATAAGATTTAACAACAAAAAGTTTAGTTTTGACTGCATGGGATAATACGATGGGTGTTTTTCAAATATTTAAGTAATGAGTTTTAGTTTTTGAGTTAAAACACAATTGATCTTGAACCTGATATTACCAGAGAAACTAGTTTAGGGTATTCGAAATGGGGAAATTGGGTTTTTCTTTGAACCACAAGTGTCCATAGAGTGTTTGCGGAGAGTCGGTGTCAGACACGTGTTGGACACGGACACGGCACCCAAAACGAAGTGTTCGTGTTACCTAGGTCAGAAGTGCTAATGTTATAGTTAAATGGGTCAAGGTAAATGTTTTAGTTAGAGGTTTACATGCTGTTTTATCTCCTCAAATTAGAGATTGGATGAAGAGTTGATTGATGTATTTTTGTACTGAGTGACATTTTGCTTTGAAACCCAATTTGTTTGGGTTTTGGTTGTACTTAAAATTCCCAATTGGTATATGAAAATTTTCAGTTACCAAAAAAAGAAATAGATTCCTGCAGATGATACACAAGGGCTAGAACAAACTACATAATACATGTGTTAAGCAATAAAAAGATATATTTACATAGTAATATAATATGGAAAAGGTATACAATCAAATAATGCAAATGTGGAAGTGAGTGAAAAAGAAAGAATGTTGTCAATTACCTCCTATCCTGAGGACACCATATACGCACAGGTTCCCAGATACAATTCTGTGACATTGTCTTCTTTTTACAAGTTGAAAAATGTGAAAAACCTGCATCACCAAAAAAACATTTGCCATAAGCTAATATAAATAGTCAAATAAACCAAAAGAGTCGTGGGCATGCTTCTCAGACCTTGAAGCCTTATGCTTCAAACTAGATGAGAATATCAATTTAAATAACCTTGATTATTGTGACAAAGAATTTTTGCCTTACCTATATCCGCTTTTCCATTTGGCAATTCCTACTCAAATAACAATTTGTTAGTCGACGTATTCATCGTAATTCATAGTAAGATGAAAACTCAGTCTATAATCCAAAAAGGAATAAAAAAGAGAAAGGAAAAAGAAAGAAATTGACCAAGGATGAACTTTAAACAAACACGCAATGCTGCATAAATTTAACAGTAAGGAGATGAGTTCCAATGGCAAATAAACAAATTCAACTAGTCCACTTTGTTGGTAAAAAAACAAATTACAATTCAATAATACAGATGAACTAAAGAACAAAAGAGAGACCAAAGAACATGACAGGAACAAAAGAATTTAGGTAAATAATGTAATTACGCAGCACACTGACATAGTACGGTGAAGTGAAGAATCATGCTCTTGATTCCATCACGCTTATTAGTCTTTCAGCAATGACTCTTATCAGATCTAGAACACATTTATCTAGGCTATGAGCTATGCTCCAGTGATTTTCCTTTTTATGTTAGAGCAGACTGTAATTTTCCAAGAATCATTTATTTTAAGGCAATCTCAATCTATTTTTGGTGTGATGCTTTTCTTCTTCTAAACCTAAACAGGTGCTTGTTTGATTCAACTATATGGGACAACAAGGAAGCCCACAAATGCAACAAAATGGTAAAAAAAATTATGAACAGTCCTGATCCCTCCGATTAGAACTAACGACTAACAATGCTTGGTAGCATATATTTTGGTTCCTTTTATTTTCCGTTAAATTCCAATTTCCAACTTGTATGTGGCACGTATTATGCTTGTGTATGGATAAGGCTAAACTGGTCAGTTAAATTCAAGGGGAGGCAAAAGGATCATTAATGGTTGTCCTGGCTTCTTCAATGTAAATGGATCATTAATGACTTTACATCACTTCAAAGGTTTCATCAATTACAAGTTCCATGGGTAAACACATATAGCTTAAAGGACAAATTTTTAAAAACGACCATCTTTCAAAATTAATAAGTAAAATCGACCATGTTAAAAAAAATTTAGCAAAATCGACCCTTTTTACTGAAAAGGGTTGATTTAGCAGTTCTGGAACTGCACGGGACTACTAGTCCCGTGCAGTCCTCCCAAAAAAACGCCAACAACGCTGTTCAACTCCTCCCCCTACTCTCTCCTCTCCAAACTTCGCCCCGCCCCAACCCATACTTCCCTTTCGGAGGACAAATCAAGCTCAAAAGGTTGAAATGGGCTGCTGCAACTCAAAATTCCTCGAGAGCCAAGAATCGGTCTCCTACTGCAAAGCTCGTCGGCGATACATGAAGCAGATCGTAGAGTTTGAGTTTGTGTTGGATTGGGTTGTGGTCCCTCAAGGAGCACGTCATCAAGCCGGTAATCCCCACCCAGTACCTTGACGAGAAGACCATCTTCCACCTGAACCCCTCTGGGCGATTTGTGATTGACGGGCCCTAGGGCGACGCTGGCCTCACCGGCCGAAAGATCATCATCGACACCGAAGGCGGGTGGGGGTCCATGGAGGCGGCGCTTTCTCCGGAGGATCCCTGATAAGGAGATAATGAAGATTGTGAAGGAGAACTTTGATTTCAGGCCGAGGATGATCACCATCAACCTCGACCTCAAGAGAAGAGGCGTGTTTGTTTCCGTGCAGTTCCAGAACTGCTAAATCGACCCTTTCAGTGAAAAGGGTCGATTTTGCTAAAAAAAATTTAGCACGGTCGATTTTACTTATTAATTTTAAAAAATAGTCGATTTTAAAAATTTGTCCTAGCTTAAATTGTAAGAAAATTCAGCTAGTTTTTTCTAAAACTAAATTAGAGAAGCAACATACATCTTTTCCATAAAGAAATGCTCTCACATTGGGTGATGTTGTTGCCATTTCGCAAAGAACAAGATGTAGAGCAGCATCTGAAGGAGAATATTTTAGTTTGTTTGGTTTATTTCCCAGTTTCTGCCTGCATCCTTCAGTACCACAGTAGCAATCTTGATCTGCTCCAAACTGAACAAATCTGTATTTTTTTTCTAATTCTATTAGCACGATTGATTTAAGAGAACAAAGAACTTGCTAAAAAGCATGAGAAATTGCTAAAAAGCATGAGAAACGGTTAAGTCAGAAGAGCAACAGATAAGAACACTTGCAATTAATAAATCTGTGGTATGTTAAAATAATGTGTTTGAGGACTGATGTTCAAGTAACACACTTATAGTCATAAGTAAGCTCCTCTCCTTTTCTGATATCACGAGATGCAAATATACCAATCCGGGTCTCACCATCAATACTCCTATAAAATAAATCATATAAGAGTCCATTAATTGATAAGAAAAACTACAACTGACACAGCTGATAGCTACTAACCATTTCTGCATTTCAGTATTAGGCTGACAGCTGTGATTTATAAATCTTGACTTGTTTCCCTTGTATGTGGCATCAATAACCATGTCACGATTAATTTCACAAAGGTAGAAATTGGTTTCTCCACAGTGCCTCATTTTCCACAATCTTTCCTCACAGGTTTTGTCATCAATAACTGTTTTCAAAAAGCAAGACAACTAATATTTTATACAACAGCAGATAAAACCACTCACTTGTAAGAAAACAATTTGATTTTAACAGTACTCACCTTCACCAACATATTCTATAACAAAATCTCCACGCCTTATATCTTCCTCTGCTATTAACCCTAATCCGCATTTCTCTGTCTACAGAGATAAATCTTAGCTGATATAAAATTTCAAGCACACATGCAAAGCAGACTGGCAGGGAAAGTGGCACCCCATAGCATGAGAAGTGAGAAACATGATCAGCAAATATACAATGGCAGGGAAAAGAATAGAAAGCCATGTATCAAGATACCGTTAATCGAAAAACAACAGGCTCTAACTTACAAAAATCGAACGTCTCATAATATTTCATGGAGATTCTTTTAGAATAGAAAATTGTATAAATCATAGATAGATCTTGGAAGCAAATGATGCATCCAATATCTAGAGTGACGAGTAGCGTCCTCAGTTGTCTTTTGTAGTGAAAACTTAAAAATTAATTGCAGAAGTTCTAATATAAGCTAGCAAAACCCAAAAAGTATTAAATGCCACACATACAATTTTTTGTTAGTTTCTGTTTACTAGCACAGCATCTTAAATTGTCAGAATGTAACATCTTGGGAACAACAGAAAGAATGCACTTTATTCAAATAATCCAACTCATCCACAGGAAACACCATGGGAAAACGGGAAGGATACATTCTCAAATTGGAAAACACAGCGATTTTTCACCAATCCACTGATCTATCAGAGTTTAAATGTGATATCCCTGGATCAATTACAAGTTGTCAGTTTGTGCATACTACATTTAGCTTTTCACATGTCTAGCTTGTAGATTTAGACATAGAATTAAGTATAACTATGAACAGAAAATGTGTGTATTCGATTTAAGATGTTAGTAGTATAGTCAAGAGTTTGGAAAGAGAAACGAACAAGCTACGCCCGCATGCATCAATGTGCATAGCCATAGGTCACTTCAAAAGTCTACATCTATGCCCCTCTGATACAAGTACTCAATATATATAGTAAGGAATTCTTTCAAAATTCAATATAGGAGACAAAAAAGGAGAATACCCAATGCATAAATCATTACTCATAAGTCCCCTTGCATCAAAAGCATAACAAAAAAACACTCAAGGGAATTGAATTCTTCAATTAAACGAAGAGAACTCTTTAATCAAATAATTCTAAAATTATTTAAATTAAATCAAATACAAATGTATTTTTAACATATGAAGAGAATTCATTTTATATGAACCTGGCTTCGGATGTGGAGAAGTGAATTCACACTTGATTTGGATTCGACTGTGTTAGGTGAATTTCAAGTATGAATATGTGCATTTTATTCAATTTAGTTTGGTTCCAAGCATATTCATGGAACATCTATCCAATATGCATCCACTAACCATCCATTTTGATAGTCATAGTACTTAACCAGGAATGATTATAGTACCATGATACATCCTTCTCATATTCACCTTCTACATCTGCTTTACTGCACGGAAAGTCATGGCTCTTCACCTTGAATGGTTCTCAAGAGGTTCGTTTCAAAATAGTTACAAGAAAAAAGTAGAAGGAAGTTTCTTGATTAGCAACAGCATAAAACTGAAGGGAAATGGAGGATCAAAAATTCATAAACCTTTACATGTTTACAAAAAAAAAACTTTAGACAGCACCTGTTACTGCAAACAATCAATATAGACAGGTAATTTATTCAAGATAACAATAAATAGAAAAAAATTATGTTTTTTTAGGATCACCTATGTGGATAGTTCTCGTAATCTGATGCTGAAAAGAATCATATTCCACAACTTGCTAACATAAGGAAGTGACTCAACATCTGTTCGAGTCCATACCTTAACTAGTTTCATTTTTTTTGCAGGTCGATGCTGAAATGGTTTGTTGGCACATAAATCTCCACACTTGCAACTGCTGGAGCAGCTAGACAAAAGCATCCTATGCACAATGGGAAAATTTTATAATAAGGGGAGAAGAACAGATACTAGTAATAAGATGTTAGAAACACAATCCGGTGCAAAATCTCATAAACAAAACAGAAGGGGGGAAGAACTTAAAATGTTATTAGCAAAGGCTCCTAATAATTGATATGTTTTTTAAACAAAGGCTCCTAGGCCACGATTGTTTTTTATCCTCGGACTAGAGGGTATTGTAACTTCTGGACTGATGTCCTGGGATTATATGTTATCCTCGGACTGTCTCAGTCTATTCTAGTATTTGTTTTCACATGGACTAATATTCGGACTAACTTAAGAATAATCCTCACTAGTCTGTTTTTTTAGGGTGATTATGACCGTTCAGACTAATATCATAAACTAATATTATAAACAGAATGACCTTTTTGTTCCCAAGTCACGTAATATTGTATTGATGCATCTGTTTGGAAAAAGTTCCAAAATAATTTCACATGATAATAAATATTTGTGATGAAAGATAATATTTTCTCCATTAATGTTGGATAAATGAAAGGATCCAAATCCTTTTAGAGAGCACGAAAAAATTTTGTTGGTTATATCCACTACCTTGTGCGCTGAAGATGTCAACAACCATATAGTGATGCTTTTAGACCTCATCAAAGTTAAACACTTCCACATAATTAATTAGAATAACATTACCTATAATATTGTTTATAACCCAACATATGAGATAGCACCAATGGCATGCAAGATGTAAGGAGACCAACCTCACGCCAAAAAAAACTGTGGAAACTAATGCCGCTGAAAAATCTCATGGACGACAATGAGAAAATAAAGAAAAAACGAGGAGGGGAAACGGTGGAATTAAAAGGTGTAAGGATATTTTTGTCAAAAAAATCATAGCCCCCCTCAATGATTAATACCCGGATTATAAAGATGGGGGTGAGGTATCTTTATTTTAATCCTCTTTTTGGGTATTAGCTAATCCCTCCTTTAAAATAGTACAAGCCTGGTAAAAAACAAACACCGGCTAAAGAAGTGGGTCCGGACTATCTTAAAATAGTATCCTCGCTATTAAAAAAAACATGGCCCTAATGTTAATTCATTTATGATGTTGAAGAAGTTACTTACCCACAAAGGCAGTCAGCATCACAGGCAGCACTTTGGCCTGAAGGAGCACAGGAGCAGAATATGCCATCATCGTCATCAGCGCGCCTTTTAGGTTTTTTGGTGAGGTAAACATCTTTGTTGAGTCAAAAGAAACAATACATATTGATCAGTTATCTACAATA